AATTTTATTCATTATAATTGAATATTAATTAATTATATGTAAAAATTTATATTTTAATATTAATTGACGGAGAATGGAGATCCTTATGAGGAATGGAGATCCCCGTAAGGAACGAGAATGGGAGCCAAAATTTGCCCTCATTAAAAATCCCCACCGGGATGCTCATCCCTGTCATTCGCGAGGACGAAGACGGGGAGGGACTCCCTAACCCTGCAGGGTCTCGTTGATATCCCTATCTGAAGACACTCTACTCTAACAAATGTTGTCTTTGAGGAGAATGTAGTGTCTGATCATGTGCCAATGCTTATATACACTTGGAAGGGAGACATGAGACACCAGGGGTCATTTAAGTTTTGTGATACATGGTCTTTGCATCCTAGATTCTTGCCAATGGTTTCTGAGGTATGAGGTCAGCTTATTCATGGGTGTCCTATATATATCTTGGTTACTAGGCTAAAAAATCTGAAGGCTAAGTGTAAGTATTTGCAACAGAAAGAGTTTAGTGACTTAGAGGGTAGGATATCTATAATTTCTTCATTGTTCCTTTTGCTGCAACAAAGTTTGGCTGTATTTCCCTCGGATGAAATCTTGCTTGCACAAGAGAAAGCTTTGAAGGCAGAACATAGGAAGCTAGTATTGGCAAAGAATTCTTTGTTGGTGCAGCTTTCTAAGGTAAAATTGTTGCAGAACAATGATCTCAATACTAAGTACTTCCATGCCAGGCCTAATGTACGTAGAGCTAAGTACTTTATTGGGGCTATCTGTGATGACCATGGCAATAGAAGGAAAAATGAGGATGACTTTAAACAGGTTATTCTAAACTGTATATGGAGTTGCTTAGATCTTCAGAGCAACATCTTCGTCCTGTTGACCTTAGTGTTTTATTAGCAGAACCATGGACTACTGATCAACAATAGCAACTCCTTTTGGCCTCAGACCCCAGTATCTAAGGAAGAAATTAAAAATGCAATGTTCTCTATACCAAACAAGAAGGCGGGTTTTTGGCTGGGTACTTTAAGGCAGGATGGCATATTATTCAGCCTGATGTTCGTGATGTTAAGGACTTTTCCCGCTTAGGCAAAGTCCTTAACCAAATAAATGCTACTAATATTTGTTTGGTTCCCAAGAAGTAGAATCCGTATGGTGTAGGGGATTATAGGTCTATCTCCTGCTTTAGTGTAATTCACAAAGTTACATATCACAAAAGTCATGGCTAATAGACTGCGGAGCATTCTTCCTGAAATAATTGAAAGTCATAAGGGCGTATGTTTTGGATCAATGAAAACAACTATTAAC